CTTTACTTTCCATCTGTGTTTCCTCAAGAATTGTGCAAGGCATCATGATTCATTCTGACTGCTCAAGCCATGAGCTCCCTCTAGCATCAAAAAGGATTAATGCAGTTGGTACCTTTGTCATCCTAAAGGAACAGAGAGCAAATATAAGGAAATATCAGTAAGATGAAGGAAGTCTGACCCTTTTCTTCTTTTGACAAAAAACCACCAAAAACAACCAACAGCACAAAAACAAAAACAACAAGACAAACAAACAAAAAACACAACAAACCAAAATCCTTTAAGCTAGTTATGTGCACATTACTAAACACTGTCACCCTAAGAATGATGAGGCAAACACACTCACAGGACAGGAAAAGGCAGGATCTTAGTTTACATCCTAATCCATGAGATACAGGTACAGATTATACAAGTCCACTCTGGTTATCAATTTTCACAGGAGACCAATATAAACTGGCAAGATGATGATTCTGGCCTTGAAGATGTGCTCATTGTTTAGACGAGCATTGTCAGCAGGAAAGAAATAAAAAGAGAAAACAGAATGAACTTGGATAATAAGCAAGCGAAATGAACTTTACAGTACCTCAGACCACAATATTCCACTTCGGCATTTAGAGATTCTCTAGTCTTTCCTTCCATTTTATAGCATTTGGGAGCAAAACAGGATTGTTTCAGTGGTTTTAGAGGTCTTATTCCCCAGGAGTACCTAAATGGTGTTATTTGAGTAAATCATGTGAGTGAGAAAGGCAACTTTGGGTTATGGTTTAAATCTTCCAGAGTGGGTTGGCAAGTTTCCTTTCCCAGACCCAAGGAAAGAAGAAGACACATAGCCAACATCTTTTTTGGTCACATTTTGGAGTGGTTGTAGAGGTGACAAGCACAAACATGCTAAAGCCTGTATGTCTCTGCTTCACTGACTACAGTATTTCTGTTGTGCCTGGGGCCCAGGAAGCCTCCCTCCATGGCACAGCAATTCTCCCAAAACACAGAGAGAGCAAAGAATGTCAGAGTGATGCAAAACAAGACTGGAAAGATCAAATGGCTTTGCTGCTACACACAGTTGCTGGTGAAAACTGCAAGCCAAACTAATACATAGAAGTAACACCAACCTTTACACCAGCGCTCAGTAGTTTGGAGAGCTCCTTCTCCCATGTTCAGAAGAAAACCACAACTCTGTAGTCCAGGCAGACAGAGCAGATTTCAGTTGTTTGTAACAATCCCAATGACTCTGCACTAGAGTCTGCCGTCCTGTCTTTGGCATCCAAGTCTTGTCCTTCATATACATCATATGTCCATCAGTGCTTCCAATATTCCAGAAAGATCAAGCATGTAATTAAACGCCCTATAAGACTTCAGTTTTGAAGAGGCTGTTAATGCAAGAAGGATGTTTCTCTGTGTTATATCCAAACCGGTCCAGTCTTGCTGCGATGATCACAGACTTCATTCAAGGCTGCAAGTTGCAGATAAGTAGCACTGAAAGTCCAAGAACCTCTCCTTCTCCCTTCCTACAGACTGAGATGCATTAACTTCATGCACTCATGTTGTGGCCAGAGTGTCCCTGTGACCCACACACAAAACACATGTTGTGGCTTTCCTTAGGAAAAGAACAGCATTGTGCTAAGCAGGGACACTGCAGCCTCTGCCATACCCCACTACTGCCAGGGCAGGGGGAAAAGACTCAAAGGGTGAAGTGCAGGGCAACCAGCTGATGTGGAAAATCAGGTCAGGCCAGTGCTGATACTCCAGAAGTGGTGCCTTAGATGAGCACTAAGCAATTGCCTAATGATGTTGGCAATTGCTTAGTGCTCATCTACATTTACAACTTTGGCACTGCCTCTCTCTTCAGTGCTACTTTTTCTGATGTCTTACATGCATCACCTCATAGACCTCCTGTCTATGATTGCATGGGCCACCCCACTGCAACCCCTCTCTCTCCACCTGTCTGCAGAACAAAGCAATGCCTGGACATTGGCTGACAGAAGCTGAAAATGAATTCTTTATGTTAGCTGAAAAAAGCAGAGTCACTAATGATTCACAAACCATCCAGACCCTTCCCAAGAGTTTGACTTTACAATTCACTGAAGACTGTCATTGATTACAGCTGCTGCTAGTGATTTTATTACATTTCTTAAATTTCAATATCTAATTAGAATAAACCTTCTAATTTTTCTATAATGCCAGCTTGAAAACAGCTTGGAGACTGTATTCTCTAATCAAAGGTAAAAAAAATCAAATTTCTGAGTATGTAATTATAATGAAGACTTCAGTGGCTGCTCAGCACAGAAACAGCAATACATGGTAACAGCAATGCTAAATGTTTAAAATTTTTTTAACACACAAGCAAACCACCTAACACTTCAGAAAATAAGAATTTTTTTAATCACTGTGCTTGTCAAACTGCTGTATATTCTATAAACAGTTTCTGACGTTCTCGCCTTACTGAGCTGTCATATGGAAACCAGTACTTTGCTTTTCATAGGATGACTGAAAGGGGCTTTCTGCCAAGTTGTTTTTAGCAGTTACTGTTAAACTATTGCATAGTTACATGTGTATGTGCACTGCATGAGGCACACATACACACACACATCTCAGGGGTTTTGCAGCCTCCAGAAGTATAGTTACTTCCTAAATTTGCCATCTCTTGATGTGTACAGAGCACTCTGCTGCAGAAAGAACTGGCAACATTTACAAGAACTGCTACTAATGTTTGTTGTCTGAGCAGGGTGCACTTAGCCAACATCCATCTCTTACAACCTGTTGGCCTAGCTGGCATCATCCCTCCCAAAGTCAAGAACTAGGGAGAGGATAGCCTGGGATAGAACATACTCCTTCCAAGCAGTCTGAAGGAGGACTGGGAAAGTAGCCTCTCACTTCCAATGCTACAGAAGTAGCTGCATGACTTAGCAGAGTTCAACCAGATGCCGTCACCAAGCTCCTACCCCTGCCTTCTGTTGCAGTGCTACTCATTAATTCCCCTAGAAATCATTCAATCTAACATGGTAACATCAGAAGAAAACCAGGGTTCATATCCATCTTCTATTTCATTGCTTGTTCTCTCATCTGCTGGATATAGATGGTGGCTGTGTCCCCTGCCCACACTTAATAACTCTGCAGCCCTCGTCTTCCAAACAGCAGAACCCTCAGCCTATCTCTTCTGCTTGATCCTGTAGATGCCAAAAAATTTACAGCAGGGCACAGACCTTCCAAGGAAGGAGTGGGCTCTAAATTATTATTGATAGCTATCTATTGCCACTCAAAATAAACAAAAATCTGATAAAAGTTAGCAGCAGTTTTGGATGCCCCATTCTGTGCTCATTCTCTACTGTCCGACATTGCTTGTCCCTGTATAAGTGATAATGTTACAATGTGGATTAGAACATCAAGATGTGCATTAGCAACAAGAACCAACCATCACAAAATCAAAAAATTGCCTGCTCTATTCATAGACTATATGAAAACATAATTTCACGTAAATATAGATAGAAAATTCAATTTGAATCAATATGAGGAAAGCTAATTTAATTTATTGTCAATTCAAATGGATTATATCACTGAGAAACAAAAGCAAATTAAAGCAGCACATTCCCTTCCTGTTGCCCTCTTTCCTCAGGGCTCAACTTCACACTTTGAACCCCCAACTTCTCTGTCTCCCCTTGTCCACGGCAGCACAAGACAAAGAGGAATATGGGCATTGCAGTCAGTCTGTAACAGCTTCTTTCTGTCGCTCCATCATGGGTTCTCTCCACAGGCTGCAGTCCTTCAGCCGAAACCTGTTCTGGCATGGCTCCTCTCCATGGAGCTCCTTCAGAATAATCTGCACCTGCTCTGGCATGTGATCCTCTGTGGTCTGCAGAGAAAGCACCCGCTCCAGCACCTGAAGCAATTCCTCGCTCTCCTTCTCTGGCTGTGGTGCTGAGAGGACTGTTTTCACCTTCTTCCTCACCCCTCTCCACCATGCAGCATTTTGCCCTTTCTTACAGACACCTCCACAGAGGTGCCCTAGCTTCACCAATATGCTCAGCTGTGTCCTGTGGCAGGTCCATTGCAGAGCTGCCTGGAACCAGCTGTGTCCTGCACAGGGCCACCCACACCAGGGCACCTGAACTCAATACAGAAGCATGCACTCAAAGTTGAACACTGAAAACTTCCTGGTCACCTCCTGTGCTCTCTTCAAGTTGTGCCCAAAGAGTCATTTGGGGGGACACAGTGGGGCAAACCCACAGACTGATCTGGATTCACAGCAATAACTTTGTACTGATAATGTGCTGGAACACAAAGTGCAAGACACTGGTGTCATCAGCACAGCTTTGCATTTGTGCTGGCCTGTGTGGAGATGCAGGTGCAGGAGCAGAACCTGTGGCAGGTGCTTCCTCTGAGGACTTCTGGAGTATAGGGGGCAGAGGAGCTCACCCCAGTATTTCCCACTCCTTAAGCAAAACACAATGATATCTTACATTTCAATCATGTAAGAAATCAAACTCCAGCACAATAAAGCAAAGAGGAAACCCCAAAACATAAGAAACTGAGGATAGAGAATTTTTTTTTAATGAGAAATTTGTTTCTGTGCTGCTCTGGGTATGAGAAAGAGGCAACAGGAGAAAGGCAGAAAAGTGGAAAATCAGAACATGTCAAAAGTCCCACTCCCAAAAAGCAATGAGTACAGTGGTAGGAGACAACAAAAAAATGGCTAGGCCAGTGAGAGGTAATTTTATGTCTTGTATTATGTGCAAAGTTAGAGATGCACTAGCGCCTGACATTAAAAACCTGTACGCCCACCAAATTATTGTGAGAATATTGATTTTAAACTGATAAAGCCCTCTTTCCATAGATTTGTTCTCAGTAGAAGTCAGGTTAAGAAGCTTCCCACTTCCTCCTTCTCCTTCCACCTACAGAACACCTCAGATGTGATAACAGCATTGTCAACAGCCAAAACCATGGAGTTATCAGACCAGTTTGCATTCAGAAGATAACCAGTGCACTGAAGATAAAAGAAAAATACACAATTACCATTCCAGCTTTTATTAGATGTGAGCTCAGACAAAATAGATAAATAGTAACAAAAGATAAATAGTAACAAAATCAACAATTAAAAAGCAGTATATCAAAAAAACCATTTACCATCTAAAGTGAGCCATTTCAGCCATAAGAAATTGCAATCTTCAGCTGTAACTTTGAGAGTTTTCTATCTCCTGCAAGCAGTTTTTTGCAAACTTGTCTTCCTCTTCTGTTTTCTGCTCTGGTCTCTTGACAGTAATCTGGAGTACTCTCAGAGGTAAGTGATCCTGAGAAAAGAGAAATGAACTAAGATAAAAGTGGAAGACAAGGGGAAAACACCTGCACACTTCTGACAACTGAAGTGTCCTATGTTAGAAACAAAATTTCCAATTCTCTCTCTCATTTAATTTTAGTTTTAAAAGAAACAGCTATGCAAAAAAGTTAAATTTATGTAATTTAACAGTGACCTGACAAAGCAAAACTGAACTTAGATCTAGGATAGGTTTTTTGGCCCACCTTGTGATTAATTTGCAGAAGCGCTGTTAAACTGTAAGCTGGCAGTGGGGAAAAATTAAGATTTGTTTTCTTCTCACTGCTGACCAGTGTTTGTCAAGGAACATATTTAATAAAAAGTATTGTGTAAGGGCAATGCTATGTAAAGAGCATGAATGCCTACTTTCATCATGATATTCTTCAGTTGCTTATTCCTTCTACCAGCTCCTATTCCTAAATTAAGTACACATGATGGTGACTGTTCTAGGCTCCCAACTCTCTGTACATTTTCCACCAAGTTTTCATACACAGAGACTTTATGTTCCCTTAAGCAAGAAAGTAGAATTCCATGAGCCACCCTTCAAGAGATTATTAGGAGCAGCTTTGCATCAGGCAGAAACACAAATGCAGCTGTTCTTGGGAGCTGGGAGATTTTTCTTCTGCTCAACAAACACTGCAGAACACAGGGGCATAGCCTCAGAATTTGTCCCTAGCTCAGACAGAGCTAAGATTAAGATCAAATCCACAACAGAAGGCTCTCAGTTCATGAGACTTGACTATTTTTGACACCACTGGTATCACTAAACCAATGCAAATTCCATGCACAAAGAAAATTTGCCACATCTAGAACTGATGTGACAAATGTTAATCAACAAAAGGTAGCTTGCAGGTATTGTTACTGACATGCTGTCAAGTGACCAAGTAGATTATGCAATTGAAAAAGTAATGGGATAGGTCTTAACTATGGATTCTGGTGTTAGATGCAAGACACTGAACACAGCACAGATGAAAAATGACCTACAGAGGAAGAAAAGTGCCAAACCTTTCAGGCCCTGAGCATGGTGGTTTTGAGCGATAGTTTGGAATGCTTCATGTTCTAGATATAAAGAAAAAAAGTGAAAAGGCTTTGGTTATTTTAGGTTATTAAAGGGTTAGAAATATACATTATTAAGTTAAAGCTTACTCTGTAAAAAGTATATATCTGGAAGGATTCTGGATAAAAGCTCTCTGCTGCTTCTTTGTAAAACAAGCCTTCAGTTACTTTAATAAAATGCACAGAGACAAAAAGATCAAGGAGGTGCCACTGGCCTACAGTTCCAGTATGACATGGAAAGATGGCCATGTATGAATGAGTATTCATTAACATTTTGGGACACACTCATAAAAACATTGAGATCTGTCCAAACACTAGGCATCTTGTCAAGCAAACCAGAGTGAGTCAGCAATAATACAAATAATTCTGAAAGGAAGATTTACTTTTATTCTCTATTGGAAAAATCCTCTTCCTCCCACCAAAGAAAGTGCATTACATAGAAGTCATGTCATCAAACTTTAATCTCCTCTGTTTCATTCCTGCAGGTCCTCTCATAAGATCTTACACACCTTCATGCTCTCCATGTTCCTTGAAGGCTTGTAGAACTTCTTGAATGGGCAAGCAGAAAGAACAGCTATGTCAGCACAAAGACAATCACTGTTTGTCAAGGATGCTTTCAGCACTTAGCACCAAGAATGTTAGTCTGGCACAAGGATACTGGGACTGAACTTCCCCCTCTCTCACTGATCTGCCAACACACACCTCTCTGTTTCAGGCTCTCCTACTGCCATTCGATTGCCACACCCCATTATGTTTTAAATAATATCTAAAGACAGAAACTGTTCTCCAAAGAGCAGAAATATTCTGTCATCTTTCCTGGAGCCACTGAGCTGTCAACACTTAAACAAGGGAGAGAGTTGAAATTTTTACAGTCTTTTAGTGGCAGTTTATGCTGTATTGAAACTGTCCTGCTATAGAAATCCAAATACATTACACAAATGTCCAAATGGCAGATCCAATAGTATGTAAGCTTTTGCTCTCTAGTTCCTTCCTAGTGAGGACCCAGAAATCAACTCTTACGAAAGCACTTATACTACAAACAGATTTTCATGATGAGCCATATCAATCCCTGTTAGAAAAGAGATCAGGAAGAGTGAGAAATTTAATTTGCTTAGAACAGCATGCTCTTGTTTAAACAGGCAGAATGTCATTAACAGAATCCAGTACATGCAAAATGACCAACTGAGCCACACTGCAGAGAATGAAGGATGGTTGTAGTAAGAACATGAATTCCAATTATCCACATTAAAAGATCTGATTACATGTGCCCTAAAATATCTGCATCAGATATTTACAGATAAGTGTAAATAAAATTGTATTAAAGAACTATGTGCAAACAACTACAGTCATGTCTCCATTTTCTTGAGGTACATACATCAATGTATGTATGCATATGTATTTTAAACTACTACATATCCAAAGGTAAATTACATAAGGGGCTATCATATACATGCTTTTTGCAAGGTTTCTTCTAACTATCAGAGGCTAACAGACTACTGATGAGAATTACTCCCACAGCTCCTATTTTCCTGTCCAGGGAAGACTCCTCAGGACAAGGACACTCAGTACCTGTCCTTGTAAAGCTTTCCATTCTTTTAAAACCCCTTCTGTACAAGAACAGGATGGAGTCCTAGTTGACAAATATGTACTAATAATTTGTATGATAGAGCAGTATTATTTATAATCACTCCTTTGAAGACTCTCCAAAAACCAGTTCAAATCCCTTCAGAAAATAAGCATGTCATTTGTCATGTGCATCAAAAATGGAATGGGATACTAAGATGTAAGATCTTATATTGGAAAAAAAAAAATGCATGCACACACACTCCTGTTATTTGCTGTTTCCTTCTTTCCCCTCCAAATCATACCTTAGCTGCTGTTGTTGGACAGGCCAGCTGGATAGCTTCTGACCTAAAAAATCAACACCACCTGTTTTACACAAGGTTTGTTTCCTTCATTAATGAGGTGCACTGTTGTTGGGAGAAGATAATTGTTACTGATGGGATAGGCTCTGAAGTCTATCCCTACAAGAGCTTTGTTCAGAAAGGGAAGGCAGATCAAAAACGATTTTCTCACCAGAGACCCATAAAGAGCAGTAACTTTTCCCAGCACTATCCTCAGCTGTATCACACTTTCTATCCCTAATCAACAGATTCTTCCTACCTAAACATCTGAGAACCTATCTACTTGAATAGGCTTAAGGGAGAAAATTGCACTTTTGCCAACAGACAAACAACAGGCATCTACTGTCCACAGCCAGAAACAGGAATTCAAGTGGTATGAAAGAGGCCAGCCCTAACAGCTGGCCAAAACCATCATTTCCTCCTTGTTTTATCAGATCTTTTCAGTTGCTGTGAATGTAAATGGTCTGTGAAATGGGGCTCCTTCATACTCAACCCAGTAATACTGATAAACCCCTATGCAAGCAAGTAAAAAACCTTAATGCAATTTAAAGGAACATATGTACTTATGATTGTGGGGAAGGAGGGAGAAAAACTGATGGGGCAAAGCTCACCAGTGTCTACCTGTACAGTGAACTCAGCAGCTCCTTCAACAGTCCAACAGTGAAACACTGAGAATTGTAGGGCCTGAAGGCTTGTGATCTCTGTGGAAGTCTTAAGTGTGAAGAAAGAGACATTTGGGAAGATACTGAGCTGCAGTCAGTGGGATGAGAAAAGCAGCAGGTTAATTCAGTTGGAAAGAAAAGGTTTCTTTTCCTTGTTAACAGGTAAAGAAAAAAAGTCTACAGCCCTGGGCTGAAGCTCCAACAGGAGTTTTTTCTTCATATTAGAAACTAAGAATGGGCAACTCAGACTATGGGGAGTCATTAATCTGCCTCTGATGCTCACCAAAACTCAAGCAGCTTTTCTGTTTTTAAGGGCAGGGCAGGCTTCCCTTTTTGCCGTACCTTTAAATTCCTACCATGAACTCACACTAGCCACTGCTGGCATAGAGAGAACTATGGATAGACTCAGGAGCAGCATTGAACCTTTGAGCTCTCAACCCCAAAACCGCCCAGGCACAGCCCCCATCAGCCCTCCCAGCAGGATGCTTGCTTTTCAGGAGCTTCTTCCAGCTGGTCTCCCTGGAGCTGTCCTATTTGCTCTCCATCGTCCCTTAAATCCACTGTCCTGAAAGAGCTCTTGCATTTCTCCCCATGAGCCCCCATAGCTATAAAATAGACCAGTACTTTAAAAGAACAAGTAGTTTACATATTAATAGAAATATTATATATTAAGATACTATAGAAAAAAAATATATACACATACATACACAGACACTTGTGCCTCTAAATTCTGTGGAAACTGCAATAATTTTGTACCACAAAAAGCACTCATTACCAGTACTAATTTCCATCCAACAGGCCTCCAGCCTTCAACGAGAGCTATAGATGTGTACCTTTTTACACCTCTACATTTTACCAAAAGGTTATTTTTGCATGCACATACAGAAGCACATCTCTTCTTGAAAAGCAACCAACATCAAGGATAACCGGAGAATCAGTTGTTCATTTACAGTACTGTTGAAGGTCAGGAATTCTAGGTTTGCAAAATAAGTGCTTGCACACAATAACCACAGGAAAACAAAGTAAACATCAGAAAAGTGTCTGCAATTCCAACACAAAATAATAAGCAAGTACTTTGCATCAAGCTAAACAGATTGCTCTGAAAAATCAGACTTGAGTACTCTATTTAAACAACTTTAACCATTGAACATGGCAGCATTTACTTCTGAATTTTTTCAGATATATAACAGTCTTCTCTGTAAAATGTAGGTGGATATCAGTGAACAAAGGCATTAAATCTAATATAGAGACTGGACATGGGGGATGAGTTCAAGTTCCTCCTTTAGCAACATGCACAAAACAAATGTAAAACACACTTTGAAAAATAATGATTACATTGAATAAAATAAACAACACAACAATAAACTGAAATATATACCTGGAAGACAAAGAACTGAAATTCTGTGAAAATGAAGAAAACTGAATTCAAAAATGTGAGTATTGACTCAAGAATAATTTAAAATAAATTTTCCAATAAACAGAATAATAGCAGAATGGCAAGTCTAATCCCCAGCTTTTAAAAACAACTCATTCTTTACTGCTTCCTTAAACTTCCAACTTTTTCTTCTATTGTTTTCAGAGTACCATGCAAATCAGGATAGAATACAAAATTAATTTCAGAACCTGCAATTTAAGATGGACTAAAAGAGTGTTTTCTCCAGCTGTAAGCACTAGGTCAAAACTAGAAATACCATCAGAAATACTGTGCAGCACAGGATGAGACTGTAGCTCATGATGGAAAGAACTGTGCTAAAACCAGAACTGTTAATGAGGGAACTAAGCAAGAACTGATAGAAATATAAGTTGACTTTCCCTAAGCTTTTACTCCAATCACAAATGTATTTTCTGCTTTGAAGAGAACTAAAACTGAAGTAACCTCTTACTGGTAATCTTTAGCTGTAATTTATTCTTTTGAAAAGAAGGATTCTCAACAATGAGGAAAAATTCTCAAAAAAAGAGCAATTTAGGGTAAAAGAATGTAAGTTGGAATGCAATAGTTTAAACTTAAAGAAAAACTGGCCATTATGGATTTATTGAATATAGTAGTATGGAAGGAAGTACCCATTCTGGTATGCAGTTTTTGAGCTGGAAAAGAGAAGGAGACTGCTGGCTGAGTGCTCCAGAACTAACACTGCAGCAGACAACATCCATCTGGGAGATATTTATACAATTAGCAATACAACCTACCAAAAAACACAACCAACAAACAAATAAAGCAAGATTTAAAACCCCAACCAAATAAATAAATGCCACATGTAAATCTTGTGGGATTTTTTCCTACACAGGAATGAGTAAAGCATACCATAAAACAAGTCAGTGTAGATGCTAAATATTAGAGGTTCCAAAAAAACTGGAGGTTTTTTTATGCTCTTTCTTGATAAAATACTGGTTCATGTTTAATAAGAGCATAATCCTGTTGGAAAATTCTAATGGGAGCTAACCTATAAACATTAGCTTTAAACAAATAATGTTTACTATGTTACCTAACCTCAGAGAAGTTGATAGATGTTAAGACTAAGATATAGCACCTAACAGATTTTGCACATAAAGGCATTTGGAACACAATTTCAATGTAAGGCTTTCGAAAGTTTTAGGTTTAAATACTCAAAAGAAAATGAAAAAATAATTTTAAATGGCCACTGTTTAGAAGATGTTTGTGAATGCTTGAATGTAAGGTAAAGTAATAATTTTAAAATGTTAATATTTTGGTTCATATAATACTCACAACACTTTCTTCTCTACATAAATGAACTAATAATTTTGCTGGGGTTCTTTGTTTTAAGTCTGAAAAAGAGAGAAGCCCTCACACTGAATTCTTCCACAACATGCAGGAAAAAAAACTATTTTATGATCAAGCTCTCAACTACTTAGCAGGAACTAATAACAGAAAGGCTCCTATTGCTGTATAGAAACTACTCTGAATGTTGCTCTAGGAATTCAACATCTGAAGAAAACGATGCAATTGCTTAACTTGATATCTATGTTGTTATCAGTTTCACTTCATTTACAGCTTTAAATTGATTCCAAGTTATTTGCAGGTGCCATTTTTTTTCTAAAGGAAATGTCTGTCACATTACACAGCTCAGTTACTTACTAAGGCTTTAACTCAAATATTACTAAACCTTAATTTTTATCACATTCCATTTTCTAAAGATTCCTGGTAATTATTTTAATTGTATGGACCACCTAAGTCTGAGAATATGTCACTTTTGAAAACAATTAGTTTGTTTTCTAAATACTGTGATGACAGCATACTTGGATATATTGCTTTGATTACTTCCTTTGTTTTCTTGGGCTTCTCTTTCTTAGGAATGTATCCACAAGCCCTACATACCAAACAACAGCAGGTTAAATCACATTTGTCTGAGATGATAGCTTTAAGTGCACAAAGCAAGAGGTAGATAAGCTGAAATGGCAGCACCAATCATTTTCCATGAGAAAGACTCCTACATTTAGTTGTTACAACCAACTGCAATTACAGTATTGCTGCAAAGGAAGGCTGCATGCATCAATGAACCTCATTATAAAGCCAGAACTTAAGTTCAAAGATGTCAAGTCAAAAACATTCACCATTACAATTCACACACTTTTCTTTATCATACAACCTTATGTTCACCTGGAAACCTCACCTTTCTCCTCTCCTTGATCTTCACACCATTAACATTATGATCAAGTCAAAGTTGCATTTTCTTAAGCATCCATGTCCTTTATCACTTTGAGGTTTAGCAGTCTGGACCTTCCTTTTGTCACAAAACCATTGCCATACTGATCCACTTTGCTGCTGGATTCTGTGATCTTGGAACTGACAGATTCTATGGTTTCTGTAGTACAATAAGAGTCAAGGGTCTCAAGCAGAAAATGTGAACCCAGCATTGTGATTCACATTCTAAAGCTAAGGAATTAAATTGTGGAAGACCTTCAGAAACAATGAACAAAATGGGCCATTTGGATAGAATCCAAATTACTCAAAACTTGAAACAGAAGAGAGAGGTGGTGTTCCATGGGGCAACTGAATGACCTGGAGTTGGCAGTGAGCCACCTCAGTCAAACCAAAACAGCTTTCTGTCAGAAGCATTCTAAAATATGCTTAGTCTGAATGTCATAACACAATCAAAAAAGAATGGCAGTACTTTGAGAGCACCTGCCTTTCCTTCCAAGACATTTAGAGTTCTCCATTTTGAAAAATTCTTCCAGGCTTCACAGGTGAAGGCGAAGAACTATGGTGAGGAACTGTGGCAGTCTCTGATTTTATCTGTTTCCATAGACAATGCTTTCTCTTTTGGTTCTTGTTTAACTTGGCTCACACAAGTAACAACACCCTCTGTATTTTCTTCAGCTTAAAAACAAAAATCAAACATTGAAGTTCAAACTCCATTGAGAATGCTTCAGCCCCAATAACTGTGCATTTAAAAGAAAAATATTTCAGGAACTCAAGCTAATGGTTAAGGCATATAGGAAGTTTACTGCTTTTTAGCTTGACAGCCAGTTATGTCACCTACTTTGCTCTAAAACATTGCAAGTTGACATGAACCTACTACAGCAAGGCTCCCCTTGAGTAACAATATTTAAACCAATTTATAAAAAAAATGTTTGGAGATCTAAAATCACATTCACAACAAAACGTATTTCCTCTTTCCCATGGAAAAATAAAAAAACTGATTAAAATTGTCTGAAAGAAGTCTGTCTTGGAGTTCCCCACTATCAACACATTTGTCTCCTTTCTTCAAGACACACAGAACAAAATCCACTTTATTTTCTCTATCCTAATATTTATTAGTATGTATTATTGAGAAAACTGCAACTTACAAAGTGCTGGCTGGCTGTCCACAATCCGTACTGGAATAGTCTGCACATCCCCCAAGAGAATCTGATGCATTCCTCCTTCCAGGCCCCTGGAGTCATCCACCCCTTCAGCTGGCACCAGCTGGCCCATGGCAACCAGACTCTGATCAGAGGCAGGCAGAGCCCCAAAAGCAGGCACAGCAGCACTGTCCTGTGTTAGGCCAGCACCTGCTTGCAGACTGTGCCCCTGACTCAATGCTAGAGAATGGCTGCCTATTGCACCCCCCAGGGAATCCAGGAGACCTGCAGGGCTGGAAGGGGAATGGTTATTTACAGCTAACAGGGCTGCTGATCCGTTTGTTGAGGTAAATGCTGACTGCAGCTGTAATCCCTGTGAAAGAGAAGGCAGAAGTACCAACATAGCAGCATTTACAGCAGAAGGAGTTTGCATTTAACAGCATGTATTGTCTAGGCTGCTTTTGACTTCCTACTCATTAACTCTTCTGAACACTCAATTCCAGCAACTCTAGGCTCAAAATGTACTTGAAAACAATTAGGACAATGGAATCCAGCAGCATTTAGAAGATTGCTTATGACCATAAAGTTCTAATTTTGGATTGATATTCAGTTTCAGATCATTCCCCAGTACTGCCAGTTCCCACAAGAGGTGGGTACTACAAGCTAAGTACACTGCTTTAAATAAAATTATGTGAGATAGAGTCAGGCTGCCCTCAGGAAGAGAAGAAACAGCAAGTAGAACAGAATCTTACTACAGATTGTATTTCTAAGGAAAAGATCATGCATTTTGTTGGGGTTCAGGAAATATGAAGGCAGATTTTCAAAGAAGTTAAGGAAGAGGGATAAGAGAGCCAGCTTCAAAGGGAGATAAGCTTTAGAAGAAGCTCTTTTAGCATGACATTCTTATCCCTCCCTCTTCAGCCTTTCAACCTGCAAGTTTACAGCTATGAGCTAGGAGCAGTTTCAGGATTTTAAGGTATTTTCTTAAGCGGCTGGAGAAGGATTTAAAAGGAATAAACAAGACTGCCTTATCTCCCTGCAGTTTTGCAGAATTTTCATTATGAAATGACTGGACCATGGGGCAAATGAACAGGTACTTGGTTTGAGGTAGAAACCCACTGCTTTTATCCTCTTGGTTTTGCCTTCACAAGAGACTCTAACTTCAAAATGCCGTGGGATTCCCTGCGCCACAGCTAAATGTGACATGCAAGAACAACCAGAGTAGGAGCTGACAGCTACTTCGAAGTCCCAGTGTTACCCAGCTATGTTAGGGATCAGCTGAGAGGGAACTTGCTGTTCTCAGCTTGCCTTCAGCACTTCATGTTTGATGTTCTGTAAATGATTTGACTGTACCTGAAGTTGTGCAAATATCTTGGGCTGAAGTGAAGAGAATGAAGACATGAGCTGAGCTGTTTCTGGTATCAAGGACTCCCCACTCTGGTTGGATTCTGCTTTGGTGATGACTGACTCCACTCCTGAGCTCCCTATGGTATCAAAGTAAAGAAGCAGACAGTTATGTCAAATCTCTTCTTCCCGTTTAATAAAATCCTCCCCTGTGAACCAAACTCCCTTCAATCTCAATACAGATATACAGAAGACACATAGATACATACATATATGCTGTTCTCTTTGCAGAACTTGGAGATAAATAATAAGACTAGGTATGACAAAAAGACAAAACTGCAGGAAGTTTGTATGTATCTGTACAGAGCAAAAACCAGAGGCACCAAAATAAATCTGTTCTTGAATTTCACCCTACACTATGCTTCGAATATGTAGTTAGAAAATAAAAGCTGAAACGTTTCTAGCAAAGCAGCAAATAATTTGACAATATCTATACCTGAGTAAGGGCTTAAAAACACACATGTATCAAAAGAAAGGGCTGTCTTTCAAAATAAAATCTACAGAGGAAATTTTCTGTGTCTCACCACTCCCTTCCCATCTTTGCAAAATCAGCATAACTTCTATGCAATATCATCCAAAGTCCATTTATCTGGAGGTCTTTCAGCCTACAGATTACATAATATACTCAAAATTCTTATTTAATGCAAGACTGTTGGACTTCATCTCCTGAAGTTTGGCAAAAATTGAGATTTGCTTATAACAATTTCTGCAAGAAAACTTCTCATGAGATCATTCCATTTCCTGTTTGAGCCACCCAGAACATTTTGGTTAAGCTTTATGCAGACACAGACACCGCGCAGCTTCTTATTTCTCAGTTCCACTGTTATGGAGGTAATAGAAGAACTTGCCCTATGAATGCAGATTAGTCTGGTGAATGCAAAAAAATTGAGACTGGTCAATTGCAAAACATTTTCTACCACAAAATCATAGGAAAATTTTCCAGCAATCTGAGTGGAGGTACATTTTTCAACATATGTAATAATCTGCAGACTCTTAACTATTGCAACTGACTGGAAAAGACATACAAACCTATAAATCATCTTGAACACAAGTACTTCAAATATTTAGACTCTTTTGAATATTATACAGAGATCGCATATGCATATGTGAATGTTCACATGCAGAAAGAGACAGCTGTTCTCTCCCTGTGTTGTATTCTACAGCAACACCCCCAGGAAAAAAGGTAATAGTTCAACTTCTCCTCTACTTGCTACAAAGAAAGATGTATCACATGGAGATAAGGCATTCTGCACAAACAAGTTCTGTTACTGCCTAATTTCCTAAATGTACAGTTGTCTCCATTTGGCACAAGTTGAAATTAAAACAAATATGTATATTAAAACATATATGTTGAAATTAAAACAAATATGCATACAGTTCCTACAAAAGTCATCCTTGATGACCTCTACCACAGCTGTTGAGCTCTTGAAGGCACAACTATCCTGTGTCTCTCCACAAAAGCACAGTAATGCCAATATTAACACAGGCAGGTGTTACAGTGAGCTCATGGGCATTGTTTCCCCTTCCCCGGGACCCTGTGACTCTGATCAAGATAACCCTGGATCCTCCTTCCTGCCCCAACAGGGCTGGCGGAAAGCCAGGAAAGCCCACCCTGTCCAAAGTCTATATAGACCCCTGACATTTCCTGTTCGTTCTCTTTTGCCCCGCTCTCCCATGGACAACACAGAATAAAGAGAGCTGAACCAACTTATCTCAGGGTAAGAGCCTCTTTTAGAAATCTTTGCCATCTCCTGATATTCCTCCCCTCACAGCCTCTAATCTCTGAGCTAGCCTGATTATTTGGGGGGCTGTGTGAGGGGGGGAACGACAGGCATGCAAGCTTAAGCACAGTAAGTCTGTTCACATTGCAAATTAATTTTTTTTCCTAAAAAACAAGACTTCCTTAAAAAAGAGGGACACTGTTCAAGTTGAATCTAAAAACTAACCTCTTCTACTTTCACAGTTGTAAACATTAGAATTCTTCCCTAAAAGTACCAAGCATACATAATGCTATTCAGTTCAAATTAAACCACTGCAGCAACAGCCAAAATAAGTTTAAAAATCCCAAATGAAACAGAGCCCAAACTTTGCCTTTTTGAAACAGTAAATGCACTGGTGTACATGGAACTGATTCACAGAAATTAGGTTCACCATGTCGTTGAGGAGAACCCATGCAGTGAGCCGAACCTCTGAGGGTTTATATTTCTTGCTACAACAAATAAGAAATTGGCCCATGTTATTCCCTGACCTAAGGGGAAAGGGACACAAACACACCAGGACTTTTTCAGGCAAGAACCACAGGATAACTGTTGACACAAGTAAATCCTGACCTTGACAACTGTGGCCAGTGCCCCTTTGGTCTCTGTAAGCTTCTCTATCAGCTGTCTAGAACAAAATGTACCCACCACCATTTTTGAGTTAAATGGGGAAACCAGCTGGCTCTGCTACTGAGATAAAAAACATCTGCAAAGTCTGCAGCATGATCTGAACATGTGCACACAATTAGGCTCTTCAACCTCACTTCAGTCATGTCCCTGCTAAAAGCCAGGGATAGTTCTGATGAATTTCACATCAAACCTATTACACAGAGGATAGGGAAAGCATGTACAAACACGAGGAAAAGTTCTTCTGGTGTCACATTAGACAAAATATTCTTGAAACAAGGGTGGGAAGGGCAGAATAATCATACTTAAATTTATTACCAGCCACCATAATCCAAAAGAACATCTTAGCCTATGTGTAATTCTAACTACATGGGTAGCAAGTAGATCTAGTTACAAACACCTCTATTTTGTCTTAGTACATGTTTTGAAATTGAAATAAGAGTAATAGGAACCCAGTTTCAATGAAGAAAAAACAGCGTAACATCTACAAAAAAACAGTCCTTCAACCAAGAATGCATAGAAGTAAGCTGATAGAGAAATCTACCATATCTATACTCTAGTTTTGCAACAGATTAGGAAGCCCAACAATCACTGGGAAGAGATGATACTTGGGTGCCACATTAATGAAGTAGTTACATCACAAAGAACTGAAGAAATACATCTTTCAGCTCTGCTGCCATTTAACACCCGTGTTTCTATTTCTGTTCTAAGCATCAAGGAAAAGTGGAAAAGATTGCTTTTAATTCCAACAACTGAAATACAGTGCTTGTTCTTCAGTGCCTGATCCTAGCACTGGAACTCATCAGGACAATGACTTTTGAGAAGCAGGAGTCTCAATGTGCATTGAAGTCCCTTTCAGCAAGACATTTAAAGACATGTGAAGCACAAACCACCTGGAAATTCAAGTGCCCTGATGGGTCCTAGTATTGTGTCCCCTGACAGACATATCTGTTCAGTAGTAACTTAATTCTCTCTAAAGAGGTATTATTAGCACCTTCATCCAACATAAAACACTCTTTCCAGACAACCATCCCTTTAAAATTTTTGTTTGCTTAAAGACGCTAAATAAAAACCAAATTGATACTTTTAATACTTCTGCCAACAACATCACAACTATGCATTTTTTTTCTACACATGGAGTCAAACACAAAAAAAAAACCAAAAAAAACAATGAAATAGTTATAGCAAAATAATCATTCTTAAGTTCACCTGAGTGACAGGACATGACAGCAACCTCCCAGGAGGGAAAATGAACTTCTGTGACATAGCTAATAAAACACATTTGGAGACACAGGTTATACATTCAGTCCTACCATCTGAAGGTGGTGAGGCAAACGCAACAGTCACTGTTTCTGTGAGGACATTCCCACTGTCTGTGGTCCATTGCAGCTGAAAGGAAAAAGGACTCAGTTCTCAGAAATGGTGCAAGCTTGTCTACGGGAACAGAGGCTCGATACAGGACTGACAAGGAAACAGTGTCTAAAACTACATGTTTTTTACTTTTTTTTATGATTATGCATTTTAGGACCTCTTGATTCACAAAAAAAAAAAAGTACTGTAAAAGATTTTTAAACATGCACTGTGTATCAGGAAGATTATCTGCTTTATCTGCTCATAACAGTTAAATGACTTTAAAATAGAAAACAGTCAAATCATTTGGCTAACTAACAAACACACTCACTCACCTGGGCTACACTAGTGTAGGGAGAGGGAAAAGACTGATGACATAGCATGATTTAACAGTACTGTTTTCAAAGCTAATTTTAAATCAGCCATTTCCTAGAAGTTAGTCTCATAACTGGGAAAATTAGGATCACTGTGTACCCTTTATTACTCAATACATGGGAAAAAATTAAGGAACAAGACTTAAGAGTTACTGAGTTTGGAAGATTTAACTCCAACCTCACTGCACTTGCTATAAAGTGCATTTATTACTATGTAAACATTCAAAATATTTATTAAGTCCTAATTAAGATGGCACCTGAGATACACTTCATCCTCATTTTTTCAGCTACTGAAAAGTAGTAGTAACTTCTTCAAAACATAGACAATGACAAAGCCATTAAAAGAATTTTATGCCACATGTCAGTTTTTCTACACCAATGGCTTCCAGTTCTAGGATATCCAGAAGTGCTAATATGGTTATTTGCCAACCAACTAACAGCAATCTAATGCTGAAAGCATAAATACTGAATAAGGTCAGAAGGTTTATTCACATTTAATCCAGTCTTACTCAGCCACAGATTCCACTGAAAATATTGCTGCTGCAAATATAAAGTCACATAAAATTTTGGATGAAATACAGCTAAGTGGTAAAAATTAAGATTTCCAGTATTTAACTCCAAAAATCAAAAAGATACACAAAGGCCAACATACCGTTGCTGGGATACTTTCTGAATTATACACCATCTCTCTATTCCTTAGGGACTTCTGCACTTCATGAATGTGGTTCTTGATGTCATTCACAGTGGGGAAGAAGGACAGGTTATGTCTTTCTGGCACTTCATCAGGTGTGAACAATTCTCTTTCCACATACTTTCTGTCATATGTTAAAGGACATTTATTACCATACTTAAATATATTCCACTATTTCGTGCTGTTAAGAGACACTGCTACCTTCTCCCTCCCCTTGTTGCAATGACAAGACAAAAGTAAGCTCAATGATCTACTGTGCCAGTTCTTTGTGAATCAGCTACAGAATTTGGAAGTTTATTAAGTAACTTTAGCATTTATTCAAGTAACTTTAAAGAGTACAGCAGCTCTTAGTGGCTATCTACAATGATATGAAAAGACAGCAACAGCTGGGAAAAACAGACTTATGACATCTGGGAATTAGATTTCGTAATGCACCAGCACTGCCCTTTAGCTGTGCTTTAGCTGCAAACCAAATTAATCAAATACAAAAGTAGATATAGCGTTATAGACTGAGAGCACTGCAGACAGTTCTGTACCTTAGCTGCTTCCTCACTGCATAGACCTGCTCTACTCCCTGAGACACCAGTTCTCGGATCTTGTCTGCCACTTGAGGGTGAAGTCGAGAAGGCAGAGTACTGTTCTCATCTCTAATGACTTCCTCCTCCTCCTCAGGAGAAGACATGGAATGATGGGACGGTGAAGCAGGGAGGCAGGAAGTTTCCATTTCATGATATTGGTGGGCTTGCTGAGTAGGTAACTGTACATACCACCTGGCAAGAAGGACAGAGTTTATACACACAATTCTCAAACAAAGGCAATAAATTACTGTCCTGAGGGAACAGTCTGAGAACTAGCAACAACTAGTCAGCGTGACAAGTTTTTATAGGCCCTGAGCAAGAAGATATCTTTCAGAACTCAGGGCCTTCTCACACCTTTCAATGCAAAATGAACTAGATCAACCCCAAAACAATACAATTATTTCTATCAATACCCTGCATGGAAACACCTGCTGAAGTTCCATAGCTTAGTGCTTAACACATTTACCAAATTCATGCTTCAGTGCTACAGAAGTCTTACTGACATTGTGGATTATTTTTACTATTAATAAGTGACTAAGTAAAAAAAAAAAAAAAAAAAGACCAAGTAAAATACTGCTCTTTTTCTGCTTCATTTGTGAAAATAAAGAAAAAAGTGGAAGTTTCACCTGAGGACACCACCAGCATCTATCAAGTTCTTCTTCAGCATGTTGAATGCTTTCTCCTGCTCCATTCTTATGATTTTCTTGTCAATTTTAGGGTCAGTAGGAACCCTGTATTCTGGAAACTTTTGAACCTTTTTAATATAGATCCTTCCAAGGAGGAATAAAAAAAGTTCTCCATCAGTATACTTTGTCCTTGGGAAGGGAAAGGCAAAAATCCCACTTACTTCATATCAGGCATAAATATAGGAAAAGTTCAAGCAGAGTGATGTCAGGTCTATGGAGTCTCTAAAAGAACTGTAAAATTCCTAAGGATACATTAATAGATATGGATGCAGGCAGACACACTTCTGTTCTGGTCTGCAAGCCACTCAGCCAGAGTGATTTTACTCCTCAGAAAAAGCCCTCGTCCCTCAGTATAGTAAAAGCAAAACACCAATTGCAAACAGGCTGCTGTTCACTCAGCTATGCAGAACTGAGCACATACCTAGCTGCAACTATCATCAAATACACTTTTAGCTCAGTAAAAACTGAACAAGCACCCAGGAGAATGCTCAAAAGTGAGGGAAAAAAACCATTAGTGTTAAAGGAGAAAATCCCCAGTGAATAGGAACAATTTTAACTCCTTCAGCACACAGGACATATGCTAAACTAGGATGATTGACTGGTATCAGTGCAATCAAAAGCCTGAAGAAGAAACAACAAATAAGATAAAGTTTTAGAAGCAGAAATACTAAAGGACACCACGATAACTTGTGAATGCTCAGGTAGATAACGAATCCCACTTGTATTTCACAGAGTGATGTACCGCTACTTTGCATTCAGGGAATCTATCAAATTTCAGCCTTATTCAGTCAGACAGGACAGCATTTCCTCCTTACCTCTAAATGAGTATCAACCTAAAGTTATCAAAGGAGATAAAGCATAAGAGCTACTGTGAATATCAGCTACCACCCCAAACCAGTGCTTTGCCATGGCTCACAGCAAGAATTCTTTCTTAGGATGCTCAGTCACTCTTACAGCTTTATATATAATTCTTACCTTGCTGGACAAGTAGCTTTGTACAGCTGGCTAGAGGTGCTTTCCTGCTCACCAGCTTTTTTGGGCTGAAATCCTTTCCTCCTTGGCCCATACTGGCACTCCATTACAATGGCTCTGCTTCCTGGAAGCAGAAAGTAATGCACTCTGTTCAAGCAATCATTTAATTCATTACACTAAAATACAACTACAGAAGAGATGAGAGTTCTTTCTGTTTGCCATAAGACTATTCAGAAGGCAGAACTCTCAGGTATAGCAAGCAAATACAATGCAAATGCTTCTCTCCCAGCACGTAAGAACACAGAGCACTTTAAACCATTTCTTAAACTTATTACACCTCACAGCACTCCTCAACATATGTGAGGGCAAAATACTGGACTTTGCCCTGGTGAGCACCAGTACTTTACAAGATGAGAAGTCTTGCAAGCTACCAAAGGAGCACAATACTGGTAATAAACATAAGATGCAGAACCCTCAAAACAACAGAGAATATCCACAGCTGAAATCAAAGGTGTGATGGTTTTGGATGGGATAGAGTTAACTTTCTTCACAGTAGTCAGTGTGAAGCTGTGTTTTGGATTTGTGCTGGAAACGGTGCTGATAACACAGGGATGTTTAGTTACTGCAGAGCAGGGCTTACACAGAGTCAAGGCCTTTTCTGCCTCTCACCCCACCCCACCAATGAGGAGGCTGAGGGAGACAAGGAATTGGGACAGGACACAGCTGGGACAGCTGACCCAAAATGACCGAAGTCATATTCCGTGTCATATGGCAGCATGTGCAGCATATAGAGCCAAGGGAAGCAGGAGGAAGGTGGGGGACATTCAAAAGTCAGAGCGTCTGTCTTCCCAAGTAACCAGTACAAATGATGGTGTCCTGCTGTCCTGGGGATGGGAAGTTGTGAAAGAATTTCTTACTTTACTTTGTGTGTGTGTGTGGATTGTCCTTTACCTTTTAAACCGTTCCTATCTCAGCCCATGAGTTTTCTCACTTTTACCTTCCCGATTCTCTCCCCATCCCACCGGGGAAATGAGTGAGCAGCTCTGTGGTGATTTCCAGCTGGGGTCAACCACGAGACAAGGTCAGCAGACATTTCCAGCTTCTTGCTTAAATCAACATTTCAGACCATGCTGTTCCATAAAAGCTCAGCCTTGCAGTTAAGAAATTTTAACTGCTAAATAGCGGCTTCAGCACAGCACACCCACACAAACCAAACAGGCTCAAACAAATACTGCTTTTCTCCAAATTTGAATTAAGTGATTTCTTCCAGTCAGACCTCTAACAAAAGGGATTGACAAGCAAAGCATTAAAGTGGTCAAGAAAGGAACATCTTCCAAATTTCTTCTACATCACACTTAGTTATCTTTTATTTACAGTTCATGTATTCAAGTATGCAGGCAAGGAGCTGCCTATGCCACAAGTGATATGCCCAAAAACATTTGAAGTATTATAACAGCAACATAATGTGTTTCCATGAGATACCAAATGATTTGGATGAAACATGCATATGGTCTCATATATATGTTGGGAATAAAAAGGGGTAAGTTCCTTTAATTTTATTCTTAGTTTTCTTTTATCTCACAGTTTATGGCTGAAGCTTTAAAACTGGTGCTAACATTTCCCTTTTTAAGTAACTCTCAGGAAAAAAAAGAATTAAAAACCCCAAATATAACCTACATTCCTCTCACTCATTTTCTGTATGCAGCAAGTAAAGCCCGTTCATTTTATATCCAAATTAAACTCTTTGTAATTTCATATATGTACTGCATGAGCTAAATATACAATTACCAACCTGCAAAGTCTGCATGAACATTTCATAAAGAACTCCAAATGCCAAAAGTCTCTCTGCTGAGGTCTGTTTGAATTTATTTATTACTTTAATGTTTGCAACTTAAATAGTTTATTGACTCCTGTGGAGTAAACTCTTCTAAAGATCTTCAAGTTAGGCAAGAATAATTGAACAAGGTCTTACCCTTATGAGAACTTACAGGTCCTAATAGAGGAGATGGGACCTCCCCCTAAAGACCTCATCACAAGAAGCCCCATCAAATGGTATTAGCTAATCTATAAAGGACAAAGGGAAATAATCATGGCAAAACATAAAAAAATAAACAAGCTCCTTCAGGCTCTCACAGCAGTGCGCAAGCTGCTCCTTTTTTTATGTTTGCGTCTTGACCTTATCAGAACTAAGGAACAACATAAAGATTCTTCTTTGCAGCCAGCTGGGAGCTGATGTTGCAATGTGGAAAGTAGTTATTAAAATAAAAGTTAGTTACCTGCATTGACAAAGGGGATCCCATCATATGGGACATACTGAGATTTCCACATCAACCGTGTGGCGGGTTTGGCTGGGCTTGGAGACTGGCGCGTCCCCCACACACTCTGTGTCTGCTGCTTGTGTAGCGTGAGAACGCTCTCTAACTCTGCCTCGCTCACACAATAGCCGCGGTACGAGTCCCCAATTCTCTGCGTGGAAAGGATGGGAAATAATAGGATTATTCACCCATCTGACTGCTGAACACTACACAAGAAAACGAAAGCAGTCAGGGACTCTGGCAAGTGAGAACATATGCCCAGATTTTTGGCATTACATGTTTTTTGTCCCCACAGCAGTATCCTCATAAAGAGATTTATCATGGGATCTAACAGAAGAGCAGTCCCCACTGAAGTGAGGAGTTGTCAGCCATCCAAAACCCTAAGAACACCAAGAACCCCTGGAAAGGTTACAGTCACTGTCAACTCTGATTTCCAGAGGACAACTTCACTGGTTTACCCCAAACACACACATCAGTTGAGGTCACTCACTAGACAAATTAGTATTAGATGAAGTTTTTCACTTGACTGCCATAGAGGATCTCCGCATCTACTGTAACACACACTGCACTGAGCTGGAGCAGAATGCAACTGCCCATACCACCAGTAACTGTCTCGGCTACTTGGTGCACAAACTTTGAACTGAATGTCTCACACAACATCCCTCCCAACCTTCGAGGCACTCTTGATTCTCAGCATTACACAGAAACATACTATACCAGATTTGCCATGTGCAAAATGATGATGGTTTCAATGAACTCTGCTAGTGTCTGGGCAACTCCACAAAAACTGCATCTAACCTGACTCAAAGAAGTTATCCAGCTACTCAGTAGTTGCTACTCCAACTATTCAGTAGTTATCCAACTGCTCAGTTCCATCACACGTGGTTTGGTGCTGGTCTGCAAAGGCCAGCCAGCAAACAACAAAATTACGGTATCAGACAAGAACTTTTCATCCAAGCTGAGAATATAACATTTCCTTCTGTTCATATGCAGCTGAGGGTCAGGCTGGCCAAGTAGCTGTTACAGCCAGAGTAGTTTGCCAGCTCAGTCTTAAAGTGTATCTGTGGGACAAACACATGGTGAATGAGTACTAAGGTCTGATAAGATTTGTTTTGCCACCTTCAGTGACAGAACAGCCAGATGTTTAAATAATACTGGCAGCAAAAGAATCTGTCCAAGATTATCACACAGGTACCATAGCAACAACTACTTAAAACCTGCCTCATACTCATCTAAGAAAAACAAAATGTCTGTGTTTAGCAAGACCTAAAGTCAACAGTGAACCAATGAAGATCTTGTGATGCTGCTGCTAGTGCAAGGCCAGACACGTAGCTGGTGTGTGCACTGGGTGCGAGTCACTGAGACACGAACTGTTCACACCTCAGAGCTCACTGCTCTGCAGGCACTGCTGCAGCAGCTAACCAGGTCTGCATTCACCTGGCTCTGGGTGCAAGAGACATTGGAAATTGTTTAACTAGAAGCTATAAATAATACTTCTGAACAAAACTTGATCTGAAAAATCCAGGAGAAGAAAAGTAGCCTGAGAAGTACTAGAATTTCTTTCTTTCCAGAAGTCTGGGATGTTGCCTTTCAGGAGAGAGCTTACAGCACCACTGCACACAGCAAATACTGCAAAATCAGCTGGGTTTTTTTCCCATACCTTATACCTTGGTATTGAACTTATTCTAGAGAGATGAGAAGACTGACAAAACCGTTGTGCCAGAAAAGTAGCAAAAACAGTTAAGGCACTTTCTCCTATTCTGGCTTTACTTTTGCACAAGTCAGATCATTTTCCCTAAACTGGTGGAAGGGGAAGAGGAGGACAAGAAGAAAACCATAAAGCATGTAAGATCCTTGCTTTCTACAGGCTTCACAAGTAGAGAAAAAATGAACAAACAAGGCTACCTTCTTCAGACAAATAATTTTGTATAATTAATTAATGCAGCTTTAAATTACATTTTATTTCAGTGGGCTGATACATGCAGAAAATGTATTCTGATCAGACCACTGAAAACTAAACATAAGTTGTTGAAAGGAACAGTTTAAATTCACTCTGTAACAATGTAATTACCTTGAAGTAATCACATACTCTTCAGCCCTTTAACTCCAAGGTTCAAGCCAAAAAAATTGAGTGATTCCTTCTTTCTCCCCTGGCCTTGCCTCAGCAAAGTACAAAAAAGCTTACTCTAAAGTAAACACACTAAGACTGCAGTTTTCCTTGAGGAAACTCACAGCAGCAGGGTTCCAGAGGCATTTTGCAGTCCAGACACAGCAAGTGTAAGCTGAACATTTCAAGGCAGCCAGCTTTTACTGCTCTGTGTTTGCCCACAGCAAGTGTAAGCTGAACATTTCAAGGCAGCCAGCTTTTACTGCTCTGTGTTTGCCCACAGTACCAACTGCCAAAGGAGTCACTGGCCTTTGGAGTGCAGTGGCTTCACCTGCTGACATCTTGTGAGAGCCACAGAGACCGCAACACTGGCTTAAGCTTGTTTCAGTTCTGGCAGACTACTGAAAGAGTGGAGTTGTGAGCTGACATATTTACCAGCATCTCTCCAAACTGGATTTCCAAATTTCAGTAGGATCCTTCAATTCTGTTACTAGTAACAAAACATTTTGACACCTGAAAGATAATTGACACCTCAAAATCCCAGTGTCTCTAGTCTGTGCCCAAAAAAAGGCACAATACATCCCAGCACTCTCTGGTGGATCAGAGAGGATTATCGTATACAAGAAACAGTTCTGCTGAACAGCAGAGGATGTTTGTGTCCTCAGAACATATTAAAATGTTTAAAATTAAAAAGGAAATAGAAATAATGTCTATTTCCTTTTCTTTAAAAATAAGAACCTTTCTATAAATGTCCCTGTGAATTTTAAACACAGTAGGTGAAATTTCTTATAATAGATAGACAAAGCAGATCCTAAGTCTTCTGATAATAGGATACCAATAATAAATGATTCAGATGAGCCACATGGATGTCAAGACAGGAAAGAATGTACCACATAGTGCTAAAAACACACTGAACTTTATGAACTAACTGGCCAACTGAATTAAACCACTGATTCTATAACAATGGTATCTCCACCATGGAAGAATTCATGTTAATAATTTTCTGACTTCTGAACATTTATTTTTACATAAGAGTGGATGGTACCACTTGTATTAAATAAATGGCAGAACGCAAAAGGAATAGATTAATATATTTAATTTTAAAATTGTTTCTAAACACATATAGGAAGAAATTCAATTTCTAGGTCCCTCAAACTGCAACTTCTAGTTATCAGTGGCCAAGCCAATGGAAAAAAAAAAGGTAGATATCTAAAAAGATTAGGCAGCTACAGAGTATAAGCTTTACTTTTAAAAAGTATTAAGAGAAAGTAAAATAAACATCTGTCAGAAAGAGTCTGGCAGCAGGAGGAAGGGGTAGCTGATCTCTCAAGAAACTTCCTGTCTCTCCTCCCTTCCTGTTACAGGACTTACGATGCATTCTAGCTGCTGATAGCATTCTAGTCATCAGGACAGTTCTGCAAACATTTAACAAGATGCAAAAAAGGAAGAGTTCTGTTTAAGTCAAAAGCCGCCACAGAACATAAATACAGGGCATTTTTTAACAAAAGAGGAAACAAACACAAGTAACCTAATTTGCTGGGACAAAAAATAAAAATCAGCAATAATATCTAAAATAGGAATCCTTAGTGAAATATTGATATTAGGGTGCATTAAGTCTCAGGCTTGACACTGGCCAAGCACATGGATTTTGATTTCTATGTGATAACATAAACCACACAAACAGTTGCAGAAGTCAGCAAAGTTTGCACTGTTGCTCAACAGCAAACACATGGCACACAATGGCTCTTCAGAGTGCTACAAGGTATCAGGTTTTCAGCAGCACTTCTTCTAAATTCAGAAGTCAGTTACTCTAAAATTCTCAAAATAGAAAGGGATTTCACAGCATTTTATGTGTTTAACTGTGCTAGCATTACCAGTGCTATATACCAAGAAGCTTGAGCACTTCTACAGCTATGAATTATTCCTTTCAAGGAATAGGAACACTGTCTCAGAGCTAGATGATGAAACATTAAGTCAGAATTCTTTGTGGCCCACCTCAAAGTTCCTGAGACGGCGTGCCCATGCAGGCGTATTTAGTGGCAGTGGCTGAAGAGGGATGGGAAAAGAATCTTCCGCTAGCCTGAAAAAAAAAAAAATAGAAGTCTATACAGACATTCAGAAAAGCAACAACTTAGCCTAAACTACAGGGAATATCAAATTAGTGTATTATGTGCAACCCTAGAGAATATGATCAAACTATGGATATTGTATCAACATGCCTTAAAAACCTGTGGTTTTCATTTTCATATTCTATTTCATTGTTAAAATCATTTACTGTGAATAAAAGTATTTGAAACACCACTGGTTTCTACATTCAAGTCCTCCAAACATTCAGTACACTGTGGGTTCATAACTTCTTTTCCATGATAATTTTGTGATAACCATTGCAAAAACAAACTGCAAGAAAAAACGGCAGTGCTAACAGTGGGTCAAAGTGATTCTTCATCCCTTTATTGTTCAACTCCTGACCTACCTGGTGGCTGGTTTTTTCGATACGGTGAGAGATGTCTGTGGATGTAGAATGTAACTGCTTGCACTGTCTGCTATAGAAGCCACCAACACAGTCTGCAGGTTCCCATCACCACACTTCTCTTCCAAAATATCTTTACAAAAAAAAAAAAGCAGCTTCCTGGTTAATAACTGAATGTAGAATGGGGAAAAACAAGCTATCATTAAACTTTGTGTGTTGTTAAAACAAGCTTTTTGACATAGGAAAGAAGTTTTATAGATGATAAATTAATCTAATAGTTGTAAATCAGTGCTCAAACTCCTGGCACACATATGAAGATACACTTGATAAAGCTGCTTATATTTAAGGACTTCGGTAATTGTGCTACTGCTTATGAATCATTCCACAACAAGGCAAATTATCAGAACAACTTGCAAATTACTCTGCTTCCAGGAATCCATATAGGATTACACAAGTATTTTGTTCAGCTGCAAGTCACATACTGGTTGCTTTTAAAACAAGAAAAAATGAAGTAATGATATTGCTTTGTACTTAGAAAAGAACACTTAAACAAGAAAAACAGGCCTCTTGTAATTGAATCTGACATGCTGTTAGAACAAATGTTTTAGCCTTTCTTGGTAACAGGGAGCAATCCACAAGCCAAAAATTGCTCTTAGATTAAAGCCTGTGTGTACACTTAAACAAAAATATAATGGAAAACTGTGAAAGCAGACATTCAATATTTTGGTCTCAACATAAACACACGAGGTGTCTTTAGATGAGGGATTTTTGCCCTTCAGTTATGAAAGCTTCTTTCCCTCATCCAGAGAGAGTGGTAAGCTATTGACACAGTACAGAAATGGATCCACACAAAGCTCCATAAGAAGATTCCTAAGTGTGCACTTGGATTAACAGCACTCTGGCTCAAAGCATTGGCTCCTCCTACAGAGTTATGCCCTCAAGACACTGCAGGCTACTCTGAAGTCTGCACCATTCCATGCATTACCACCATGTGCAGACAAGTGAAACTCAGGAGCTGACAGGCCACCCTCCTTTCTCTTTCACCTCCACAGTAAACTGCTGACAAGTCTCTCCAGCTATCTAAAAAAGACCAAATCACTACAAGGTCTTTTACACAGTCAGTCTCTAAAAAAAACAAAACAAACAAAAAAATCCCCCACAAACGACACCTGTAGCACTACTGTAGAACAAGTATTCAAGTACTATGACACTGAGCCTCATGTTGAATGAAAAATGGAAATGCAAAACTACTATTTAGTATTTCAACTTAGTGCTTACAAAGAGTAGCAGCAATTATTTTGTAACTAAAGGCTCCCAGTCATCTTTAAAGTAATGTAAGACTCTGCTGTAACCAAACCTTGTTTTACCCCTTCAAAAGCTGGAGAGGAAGGGAAGGTTGAGCATTAGGGTAGGAACAAGTCTTTCAATGCAAAGTCAGGAAAACATATTGCAACCCTAAGTGAAAAGAGCTAGAACTTGAATCCCAAATCTTTCTTCTATCCACCCAGCACCAGGACTCTATTCTTATTCTGAGCTATCATTCCACAAGAACACTTAACCAGTGCTCAAATCTTGAAAACTTTATAGAGAGAATGAAAAACCAGTTTAAAGAACATTTGAGAGTTTAACAAAATGTGACCACCTCATTCTCACTCTGCGAATGCAACCTAGTGTAAACTGTTTTGCCATCCAGCAAGGACTGCAGATAAATAATAAATGCTTTCAGATTTCAGTATGTCTATTTTCTAGAGAAAACCTTAAAATTTGCACTTCTAGTTGTGTATCTCAGCATATACTTAAAATGTGACAACTAACACATTTCAATGAATGGAAAGCTACATCTTATTTTCCTTGACTGGGAACTGAATTACTACCTAAATGATTATTTCCTGGCTTCACAGAAGACTCATCATCATCACACCTCTATCTGGCCTGTCTGCACTACAGGAATTAACTGCTTCATTAACAATGAAGTAAACAAATACTGAAAATTTGAAGCTGATAGTACAGTTGACAGTACAAATATCCTTATTAAATGTAAATAAGGCAAGAAACAACTCTGTGCTTGATATGTCAATCTACCCATCACATACCCTTCAGAAAGGGGCATAATAGCTCTCATTAGCTTTCATTATGCTTTTGCCCAACAGAAAATGTGGTGTATGAGGCACCAGATTCACAATCAGAAGCAGATTCAGGGTGTATTTTGTCTTAAAACTAAGGAAAAGAAACAAGGTGATTAAAAAAGACCATGGAGGATGAGCTTAGTCACAGGAGCACAAACCCTCAAGATCCCACAGGTTAAACTCACCCTGTGTGCTGGTCACATCCAGAAGCTGACCTGGAGGAATAATCACTTGGGTCACTCCTGGCTGGGCAGAAGGAATGACATGCAGCACCTGTCCATTTTCTGACTGGCTGGCAACAATCATCTGTAAGGCAGTCACACAGAAGCATGAATGGCTCTAGTTTGTATGGTGATCACGCAGCATGACTGGGTTTGATTATTACCAGAACAGGAAATATTTTGCTTAGAGTTAAGGCCTGTATATTTACTTGACTTTACATAATAAGAAAGCTGTCTCTTTATTGTCAATTTCTTAAAATGACTTTCCCCTTTTAAAATAGGCCTTTAATTAAAGGCAGAAAAAAACCCCAGTGCTTTACCTGATTCTACAATGAATGACATATTTATTTAAAACTGACAACTCTCTTATTAAAGCTATCAAACACCTGAAAGCCATTCATAGTTGGATTTGCTGTAATTCCATTCATGGCCTAGCAGAACTAATAGCAACATAAAAAATGTGACCTTTACTTTTAAGAAATTGACCTCTATGGGCAGCATCACTTGCAAAAGCAAAGAGAAGAAAAGCTCCAGGGTTTAAAAAAAACAATACAAATTAAATCACCTGGGATTATGAAAAACTTGAATAACTCCTTATGGTATATTTAGATAGAACATAATTACAAAGGACTCTGGGTGAGAGAGTTACCTTTTCACAAATAGATGTTACAAATTACGAAGCAACATTTTAAGAAAATGCATTGAGGGTTGGGGGAAAGGTGAGACATAATGACTTAGATAATGACTTAGCTTACTCCTAATGTTCTGATTCCCTCCAAAACACGCAGATTTATCCAGGGAATATAGAGAAAACAGCAGCAGTAGAAATACAAGATTGTAACACTGCAGCATCCAGGCTCGATACTGACAGAAGACATCAGTTTAAAATTAGTAATGGCTGCAGACAGGATTTGCCTATCTGAAGAAGGGCAACTGGAGCATAACTGTACCACTGAAAAGTTCCACCTTGTTGCTAGAGATAAGGTCTGAATCAGTTGTTACTAAAATAAACTACCACATAAGAGAGTTCTTCAAAGAGCTCCCTCATCTGTAGCACAACCCCAGCCCTGTCTGCAGACACACTCACCATGGGTGCACTGGGCCCTCCCAGGGGCTGCAGCTCACACAGGGGCTGCCGGGGCTGCTCTGCCAGGTGGAATTCCTCGGCAGAGTGCGACCGTGGCTGGGGCGGCCGCGCCGGCACAGCCGATGCAGGAGGACTGCCCGAGAGGGGGACTGTGATGGGCAGGGCTGGGGGAGAGTCGCTCTGGCCAAACAATAGATCCCTGGAATCCATGCACGTTAGTTGTTTTCACAGAGGAAAAACAGTAAAATGTACTTTGAGTAGAAACTTCTACAAAGGAAAAAAAAAAAATAAAAAGAACATTTAAAACCAGCGTGCTATACTGTATAATCAGAAGAGCTCTTGTCCTTCTGGATCAAGAGGCTAACACTAGCAATTCTACTTTTGTTTTCTATTTCCATGCTGAAAATTAATCATATTCCTGCTTCCTAGAATTAAGTCTCTCTACTAAGACAAAAGTAAATCCCTTTTGCTCAAAATCTGCTCCCCAAGACCATGTATCACTTTAAAACACCTCAAGTCTGCCCAGAAACTGAGAAGACTTATACCAAAACCAAAACTGTAAAATATTCACCAACTTGATTTGACTTCAGAAGAAATCCTAGATACTATCCCACTTGGCCTTTCCATACATGCATTTAGCTATGAAGAAAAAAAAAAATCTCTACACATTTTTAAAATTCTTTACCACAGAAGAAACACAAGCAACACAACCTCAGATTCAAGGCCAAGAATTGTACAGCATAAGGCCAAGAATCAGAGTTTCAAAATCTTAAAAAAATAAAGCATATCGTCATCAAGTTTGCAGAACAGAAGTCCTAGAGTACATGCCACTTTCATTAAATTTAAGAGCATAGGCCTAAATACTTGCCTTGTTGAAACTCTGACAACACAAACATTAAGCATGTAAAAATAATGGAAAAAGTCAGTCCTTGTGTACAACAACATATCAAGGTGTCATTTGGCCAATGCAAGAAGGGCTGCAATTTGTTATATCTCTTGCAGCAACTGCACAAACAACTCTGTCGTTTTTGCAACAAAAATTAATACACTACAAATCAAAGAATGAGGAAAAATGTTTCTTAATTTTAAAGAAAAGTCAGATTTGATCTAAATAACTTCATAAAAAATTCTGCAGGTATAAATCTTCTGTGCTGAAACTGTCTACGGTGAACTACAGCAGAAAAGCTGCAACAAACAAATGGCACCTGTTGTGTTAGACATTGTGCAGAGACCATAAGCACAGAAGTAAGTCACTCCCTGAATGACATTTTACGTTAGAAAAACATTCTGCAGAAGAGGATTCATGCTCAGACATCTCCCCAAATAAGAAGATCTGGCAATATCTGATAAAAAATACATGAAAGACTCCTCTCCCTCAACACATACACAGGTGTCCCATGTCCCTGGACTCTTTATTTGTCACATTTGGTCACTAAGCAATGCCACCTCATTTTCACCTGTTCCGAACCTCTCCTACTCCAAAGCATGACATAAAGCATTCTTTTCCAAAGGGTTAACAAAATAAAATATGCATTTCTTCAGCACCATAGCAGGACATAATTACTGAAGGTTGTCATTACGTGTCACAGCTAGACAGTCATCAGTTCAAAACTGAATGGCACAGGAATCCAAGGGAAGGGAGGCACATTCTTAAAAGACACTATGTATTACTCTAAAGGCAAGAAAAAAACCCTGCATTGATGAAATAGCATATTTGAAACTCACCAGAGTGGATGCAAAGGAAGCATCTACAAGGACAAAGCATTCATATCTTACCTGAAAAATCTGATCATTTGTTTCTGACTCTCCTGTACCATTACAGCTGCCTATGAGCAAATTGTTAGATCCTTCCATAGCAATATCATAGTCAGCTCCACTTTCTTCCATTACAATGTGACCTGAAAAGGTTATAAAAGTTCATTTTAGCCTTCTGCCAGGAGATTGCCGCAGGTGTTGTTTTCAGGTCTTACAAATTTAGTATTACGAGCTCGAATGCTGTTGCAAGATAACAATTCTCAATAAATCCTTCCCTCCATATCACATTATTACTCACTGCAGAAAAATTCCAGTGTGTTGCGCCAGGAGTACAGCTTAGCCTTTTATATGAGATAATTTGCTTGATTTCTCATTGCATACACAGATACAAAACACACATGCACCCTCCCACAGTTTTCATCTGAATATGTCCAAAAGCACTGAACTAACAACCACACACATCTAGAGAACACTTGATATTTAAGCACATGCCAGCAGTGCTTTATAAATATATTAGTCACCTTCTTCCATAATCACCAGGCAGAATTTGCATTATGCAACTGTCATGCAGACATCTTCAAGTAAATAAATTTGTTTTAAAGCTTAAAAGACAGCATATAAAAGAAATAAAATAGTATTTACTAATGGTACTCTACAGTGGTATGCTTTGGGCAGAAAAAAACATCAGATATGTCAAACAAAATCTGGCATTAATCACATGGCAAAAGACAAAAACACAGAGTTCCCAGCACTCCAGAGATCTCCTCCTATCCCAAAGAAAGCTTCCAGATACTCAGCTGCCCATTACAAATCTTCAGACAGATAACATTGGACACTGAATTGCCACATCCACAGGATAATGCTTTCATGCACACAGCAGACCCTTTAAAGCAGCGACCAATCCCAAACATTCACAAGCAGCAGGACAAAATAACAATTAACTTGGCCCCTACCTAACAAGAGTTTACATATATAAGACCACACACATAACATACCCAATTGGATAGAAGAAAACTTAATTCCTGTAGTTTGGGGTGAAGGAGGTGGTCACAATTTTCCCCTTCACTATTTTATTTTAAAGACAGGCTGCATTACATTAGCACATGACTCCTACCAGCTGTATCTTCTTCACCACACCACGCAAGTAAATTCCTCAAGATGGACCTTCCTGGCTGTGGTATTTAAATTGTTTACAGCTTTTGCAAGGAGACTGTTACAGAGTAACTGTTAGAGAGTAACTTCAAAAGAACTGTACAACTCTTAAAGCACTGATTTATTCTGCTTTGCAAAGGTATAAAGGACACAAAGGCAAAGTAAATCCACATCTCCTTGGCTTTTGAAGCTGAATAAAGTATCCTGCTGATACAAACAACATTGAGAAGTTAAGCAGCTCATATGCTCAATATATTAATACTTTAATCTAAAGCAGATTTATTTTTCCATTCAATTTTCAAGCGATGACACTCCAGACCAAGTTCCAAATGAAGTTACTTCATGTTTACTAAATATTTTTGAGCTTTGGATTTCAGAACAACTATAAGATGTTTCAGCTAAAATGTCTGAAGCATCACAGCAGCAAATGGGAAAAAAACCCCAGAAAACTAGATTTCATCATCACTCAACCATTTCCTCTAAGTTCAAAGATGTAAAGAAGAGACAGCACTTTTGCAAAAGCAGCACATTTAGTTCTTTGAGATAAACTGAGTTTGTTCCAGGCGTACTGATAACATGTACTCTGAGCATGCTAGAACCCAACAACAGAACACAAGGACAGCTCTATAGGGACAGACCAATGACCCCAGTAGCCCAACATCCTGTATCTAACGATAGTTAATAACAAAGCTCAGGGGAAAAAATCCAGCAGTAAGGCAAATACACAGTGATATTTATCCAGCTTCCTTTCATAAGCAGCCTATAAATACCTTAAGTTTTATATTTATGTTTAAAATAATCCCTGTGGTACAATTTTGCCCCATGATTTTGTCTAATCACTGTTGTAACCCAGGCAAACAACTGGCACACACATCACTTGGAAGATCAACTTCATGGTTCAACCATCCAGGTTTCATTAACCTAAGTGCTTGTGTGCAACCACAGAGATTATTTTTCTTTTCTTAAAGAAATATACTTCTACAGAGGTGTACAAGTACATACACAATTAACAGATCTTATAGTCATATAGATATTGCTGACCAATTCCCCAAACAGGAGAGTTAAATCCTGTCCATTCATGTACACATAAATACATATGTATACTGATACTTTGTCGTGAATGTGTAAATAACATGTAAGTATCTCTTCATAAACATTAAGTGAGCACCACAAAAATTCCCACTGCAACACCGGTGTATCACACGTTTAACAGTCGGCTGAAGGAGATGTGGAAGCTCAATATTAGCGTACAGTGGGAACAAGAGCTGCACACTGAAAGCACACAGGCAGCTCCCTATGCCTCAGCTTTAGCCTTAACACAACTGCACTCCCACCACTTTATAGGCTGCTTCCCGAGTCCAGCATTCCAGGGCCATTTCCAACTCATGGGTTAGTGTATTTTAACACCACAGGTCTATTTCCTTCACCCTGCTTCCATCTGGGAAGCACTTTTTTCAAATAAAGGCAAATCTATGGCCATTGTTGTCCCAGGTTCACCTCTACAAAGACAGCAAGCAGCCACAGAAACTGCTACCACAGGCAAACATGATAACCATCATGAGGAGTGTATGCAAGGTGTTGGTTATACTTAACAGAAAATACATACAGTTGAATACTTCACCATCAATCTCTTTTGGGTTTTCTACAAGATGTTGCAGAGGTTTTATAAGAAGACTCTGGATAATTGCATGGCTTACAGCAATCCAAATACACTGTCTGAGAATGCTCCCTCTGAGGGCACTCTCTACAACCATTCACAGTTGCACAAATTCACAAGGACATGAATTACAGTAAAACATATGAGGGAGGAAATTAGGGCATAGTGATACTCCCCAGTAAAGGAGTTACAATTAACTTTGTCAGCTTGTACCAGGCTTGAGATTTAGCATTATCTCTATCATGGAAGAGGAGGCAGATGCTGTTAAGAATACAGAGAAGATCTGGGGACTCACACTTAAAAGGTTTCTCAAGTCATTTTTTTGTAGACAACACCAATAACTGGAAAATGCACCTGTGTCAATTTTGCTGACAAACAACGTTAGGTCTATGGAGAATGTTTAAGAAATGGATGAGATTTCAGAGTCTCACGAAACAGCAAACACCCAGCACCCGCCCGGCTCCAACAAGCAGAGTCACAAAAACCGAGTCAGCACTCGGGGAAACTCCATCTGCTCCCCAGAGGCAGCGAAGGACTGTCAAAAAGGTGGGGGAAAAAAATGTATCGACAGCGCAAGCACACATCATGTCCTCACACAAGCAGCCTTCTCCCAAAACACCACACTCACTTACAGCTTCTTTTTTAAGTCCACCGCGCGTTGGGTTTATTACTTCTAGTAGGCAGTTTATTGAGGGCGTGTCGCTGGACGTGCAGAGGAACACAACGCGAGTGACTCCAGCAGAGAGCGGCACTGCGGGCCCGCGGGCGCACACGGGCACTGCCCCGCCGGGCACGGCCGCGCCCCGCACCTGCCAGGGACCCGCCCCGCGCCCCGCGCCCCAGCCCTGAGCGGCGCGGACGGTGCCTCAGCCCGCACCCGTCGCACCCCTCGGCACCACAGCGCCGCGGCGGGGGCGGCGGCAAACCCCGGCCGGGGCCCCGTGGCGGCGGGCCGGGGGAGATGCCGGAACCGCGCTACCGCACCTGGGCCGGGCTCCCGCGGCCCCGCCGCCATGCGCGCCTCCGCCCCGCGCACGCGCGCCCGCCCTCAGCGGAGCGGCGGCGGCGGCGCGCGGGGCGGCGCCGGGAAGGCGGCGGCGCGCGGGCTCTCGGGAGCGCGGCGGGCGCGCGGCAGGCGGGCGGCGCGCGGTCCGCGGGGGCTCGGCCGGGGCGCGCCGCCGCACGTGGCCCGTGCCGCCATCGGCGGCAGCAGCGGCGATGGCGCAGCTCACGGCGCGGTTCCGCACCGAGAACCGCCGGTGAGCGGCCTCTTCTCCCGGGACGGGGGTGGGTTCGGGAGCGGGTGGCGCAGAGGCGGTAACGGAGCGCTGTGCCCGCAGGTTCGCCGTGGAGGATGTGCCCTTCTCGGTGCCCGCGACCTCCGAGACCGCGGACCTCAGCCAGCTCATCAACAAGCTGCTGGCGGCAGCGCACGGTAGGTGCCGCGGCGTCCCGCGTGCGCCCAGGCCGGGCCCGGCCGCTCCGGCTGTCACCGCCGGGCCCCGCTGCTTTGGCCCGGCTGCCCGCCGTGGAACTTGATCCGAAACGCTGCGGGTACCGGCGCTGCCGGGCATTCCCGGGGAAATGGACCAAAGGCTGGAACACTGTGTGTTCCCGGAGCCACAGGCCAGGCTGCCATAGCAGATGGGAATGGAAATATTTCCCAAAGCCTGGCACAAGAACTAATGAAACCAGAGGTTTCGGTTTTGTCACAGCCTTTAAGAAAACCTCGGCTATTCTGTCGGTGCTGAAATGGGCCGACTAACTCGAAAGCTGATCTGGGGAAAGACACTTGTCAGATGTTGTTGGAAAATCCCATTTTCTATAAGAAACTGGGTCAGTGGTATTATACCCTGCTTCTTGAACCTTTTGCAAGTTGCTTTCCACCCATGACGTTGCAAACAATCTTGAACAGAAAACTGGTGCACAGTGGAGTGCTTCTGCCAAAATGCAGAGCCTTTGTCACTTATGTAATTACAAAGGGAGAAATATAAACCAAAAGTTCTTAGGATTTTCCTACTGCCGTCACAAATACAGGACTCTAGCTGGTGGTAACAAGTGGCAAGATCCCTACAGAACAGTCAAGAAGTACTGCTGGGATTTGATTACGCAGAGCTACAGGGAAAATACAATAAGGGGCAAACAACTATTTGAACCCCAGCAGCAAATTTTCCTTTCTCTTAACTTCAATAATCCTGTGGAAGTAATGGGCTGCCCACTTAAAACTGGGAGAAGAAATTAATTGGTTGGGGTTTTTGTTCTTCTTGTCATTTATTTTGGGGGTTTTAGGGGGTTGTTTATTTTTGGGTCTTTTTTGAACTCTTCCTGGCTCCATTGTCCTGAAGCAGTCGCAAAATGATGCCATTCTTGATGGTATCAAATAAATAGTGACGCCTGAGCATTGATTTTTCCCAATTTGTTTCAGCGGATCATAAGTATGTGGAATTTGACTTCCTTATCAATGGCCAGTTCCTGCGATTGCCACTGGTCACACACATGGAAATGGAAAATATTTCCACAGTAAGTCTTACTCAATGTCTCCCTATCTTGGACAGTAGAACAGACTTAGGCAGTTTACTTCAATCTGCTTTAGATATTGCACTGTCAGCTAGGTAGATTTCCTTGCTCAGTTTAATTTCTTTTCTTACTTTCCCAGGAGAATTCCCTATATTTTTAAAATCTGTTATGAACTGCAGTGATTAGAGACTGCAGACGGAGCAGTGCAAAGAATGTTTTACGATCTGTTGTCTGTCTACATTTCAGAGGGGAAATTCTTCTCTTATTTAGTTCATTAATACATTTTTGTCTCTTATGGTGGGGGATAATGGGGATGTTTAATATTCCCTCTAGAAAATGTTGCAGTGGTTTAGACACCAGTTTTGTATTAGTAAATGTAGAAGAAAAATGTAAGAAGACTGAAATCACTTGCTTTTGCTTCCAGCTTGCTATTAATAGTAATTTGATAAAAATATGGAAAGCAATGTAATTCACACTTTTTTTCTAAATACTTTTGTTCTACTGATGTGAAGGACTTGGATACCAAGACCTTTGCTCAATAAACTTGTATATTCATGCCACACTACAGTTAAATTTTACAGTTAAATTTAGTGATTAAAAAAACCAAAACCACACTACATCACTAAATAAATATTTTGTCTGTGAGCTCAGGAAGAAGTGGTGGAAATAGAGTATGTGGAGAAATACATGGCCCCTCAGCCAGAAGAATGCATCTTCCATGATGACTGGATCAGTTCTGTTCAAGCCACTGAAGAATGGTACTATACTAAGCCAGCCATAAGTTTTGTATTGCTTATTCATGTTCTTCCATGGTATCAAATAGAGCAGTATTTTTTTTCTTTAATAATCCCTTGGGTGGGTTTTTTTTCCCCTCTCTTTTCTTTTTTTTTAACCTGTCAAGTCAGTCAGCTACTTGCTTTTGTAAGCAGTTCACAGGTTACACTGTCATGACAGTGATAGATAGAAAACAGCTAGAGACACTGAACTTGTGATACTGCTTATACAAATGAACAAAACAAATGCTGTTTAGTATCTTTTTTCTGAAAGGTAAACAAGTTCTCCTCATTACTCATTTTTTTGCTTAAACCCTTGACTTCCAACGTGACACCCATTAGCAACAAAGAGAATAGCATACCTTTCTGCAGAGATTTTCCTGAAAAAAAGCCAAAGAGGCATAATTGCCTTTTTCTACTGTATTTTCACATTTATTTCCCAATCAGCTAGGTAATGTTCATATATTAAGTAGAGATTTGAAAATGCTTTGAGAACCTTTGGCAACATAGTAAAACTAACAAGTTTTGAATTGTGTAAATTATAAAAGGGATCTTAAGTCCCATCAGCCACAAAATGCAGTGCTCTCACTCCTTGTCTTTCCAGCCTGTACTCTTGGCCTCCCAGTTACAAGTCTTTAATGATGCTTTGCTCTGTAGCAAAAAGATATTTTTTCCTCTTTCAAGCTATTTCTTTTAAACCAGTTACTGTGCTAATAGTTTTCCAAGTTTCTGGTTGAGGCTTTATTTCATGAAACCATTTGTTGGTCTTAAAGACAAAGATGTTTCCAATGCTGTATCCTGTAGGATATTAACTGGCTGCTATGATCAGACCGCTCGGATCTGGTCTGTGGACGGAAAATCCATCACGACAATAGCTGGGCACACAGAAGTAGTGAAGGATGTGGCGTGGGTGAAGCAAGGTCAGTATATATAGCAGGGGAATAGTAATAGTTTGATCTGCTGGGGGAGAAATGTTAGCATTCCTTAACTATGAATATTTAATTATCTAAATGTAATTATTTCAATCTCTGCCAGCGGTGTAAGAAATTAAATAATGGTGTGCATAAAATAGTCCTTTGACAATAATGAATATAGTTACTTTAAGATGATTGTTGTCTATCCACCTTGCAGTCTCCATTAGCAAATACTGGTGTATATGTAGTTATATTAATTGTACTTGCAGGGTAACATGATGTAAACTGAAATATATATGAGCTTCTGTCTATCTGCTGTTTCTTCTAGGATTAAAATAATTATTTATAAAGACACTGGAAAGCTGAGTTGAGTGTGAGTGTGACTTTTTTCTTCCTCAGACAGTTTATTGTGCCTGTTACTCAGTGCTTCCATGGACCAAACTGTCCTGCTCTGGGAGTGGAACGTGGAGAAAAACAAAGTGAAAGCCCTTCACTGCTGCAGGGGACACGCTGGCAGTGTCGAGTCTGTGGCTGTTGATTGTACAAGAACCAAAGTAAGTGACTTCTGGAAAGAAACCTTTGTGTTTTGGGATTTAGCAGTCTGTACCTCAAAAATCCCGGTTTTACCCTTGCATGGATATTCATCATCGTGATTTCATGACACAGTGATAATTTTCCAGTCTTGTTATAAGTGGTGGTTATTGAGAATTAGGAGTGTCACATTAATGCTAAGCCACAGAATCACAAAATCATTTAGTTTAGAAAACAAGTTAAAATTTAAAGTGTATTTTACTTTAAATGCATGAGAATTGTGTGCTATAATGAACTATTTTCAAATTTGACCTAAATTTTCGTGGTGGTTTTGGTGGGAAAAAAATTCCAGAGTTCTTGGAAAAAGCAAGTGGTAAAGAGGTTCTTTCCCTTCACCCAAAAATTCAGCAGTTATTAGCACGCCCACCAAAACTGGAGTCATTGTTTCCAGCTTGACTCAATATCAGACAGTTTAAAGTCAGACTTTTTGGTGCTGTAGGAAATAGGTATTTTGTAGATATTTTTCCTACAAAGTAAGTAAAAAGAATAATTTGATGTATTTTGAGGGGGATTTTAGGAGCCCAGCACTGTTATTTTTGTGTTATAACCCATTTTTCAATCAGGTCTCTCTTCTAAGGTCTATATGGATCAACATTTAACAAAATGTTTCTGTTCATGCAGTTCTGCAGTGGATCCTGGGATAAGATGTTAAAGATCTGGTCTGCAGGTAAGGTGTTTGTAAGGTTATACATCACTATGCTGAGTTACTGGTTTGGTTAATTACACAGTTTCAGATCTTGTTATCACCTGCATGATGGCACCATAAATATGGGGATTTGCTTAATTACTTACATG